GGCCGATTTGGTAATGGCGGTGGCCATGAGCCGTAGCAGTGACCCACTTAGAAGTGGTACCAATGTCAGCGTCGGCCGGGGCCGCCGGCCGGGCGCCACCGCGGCGGCCCGGCGGCGCGCGCAGCGGCGCCGGTTCGAGTCCCGCCACCGCCAACGGAGCACCGTTGCCGAGAGCGAGGTGGAGAAAAACCGCGGAAAAGCAGCCTCCGCGTTCGCGTATTTATGAGCGACGACCAAGGCCGGCGTGACGTCAGACTCCGATGGCGCGAGCAACAAAGGCCGGCCCCGCGGCGCTGGGTGCGCGCGCCGCCCTTTTTGCGGTGCGGGGAATTGGGTATCTGCAGCCGGCCGGCCGGGGCCCTGCAGGCGGCGGCGGCGGCGGCGGCGGCGGCGGCGACCCGAGCCCAGCCGTCACGAGGGGCGATCGCGACGGCCGTGATGCGTTGGTGACGGCCTGGCTCGTGACGCGGTTGTGACGGTGTGTTACGAGTTGTGCCTGTGACAGACTGTCAGGTGGGGACAGATGTGACGGCCGGGCCCGGCCGCTCGCCCATCGTGAGGCTAGCGTTTGACAGTGTGGCAATAGCCCGGATGGGGCGATGCGACGACACTATTGCCAGTCGAGGGCCGGTTCATACTGTATCTTTATGATGCTTGCGAGACCGCGAAACTGCACCGGCCGAGGATCGGTTTTGGGGCTTGGCGCCCAGGGGAGCTGCGTAGCCCCGCTGCCCGAGCCGAGGAATTTTCCTACAAAGGAACGCGCTGCAACGCTCAAGTCCGCGTCGGAAGAAATAAAATTAGGAAGTTACTCTGCCCGTGAACCAGTCACTGAACCTGGCCCCGTGCACAATGCACAATCACCCGAAACGTCCGCAAAAATGACCATGCAAGCGCGTCGTTTTTCCCCTCGTCGCTGTCACCGCTGCGCTGCTCCGGGGCGAGCATTCCTGCCGCGCCCGGCAGCAGGCCGGGTCGCTGGTCGTCGGTGGGGCGCATCGCGAGGGTGGCGACAGCCGCCGCCGTGGCCTGATCGGCGGGCCAGGCGGTTTTCGCTTGAACGCGGTGGAGCAGGACCGCCGGACGACTGTCCGTTCTGCTGGTCGGCAGCGCGAAGCCCTAGGTAGAAACTCCGCCGACCACAAGTTTTGTTACGGTCCGGGGGACGAGTTCGAGGCGTGAGAGATGAGTTGGGTGCAGGGTGTGATTGGGTCCGGGAATGACCGTTGGCTGCAGATAGCTCGCGGTCACGCCGTACCGTGGACTCTGAGGTCACGGCCGGACCGTCGAGCTGCGTTCCAGGCGTCACCCACCGAACGAAAGCCAGACTGACCTTCGGAGCCCGAGGTCAGGGCGCGATCTTTTGACCGAGTTCACGACTCCACGGGAAACATAGCTGACAGGTTTGAACCGGCCTTTCAGCGGAGGTCAAGACACGCTCTCCGGCTCAGCGCCTGATCGCCTTAGTCTGAGATCACGACCCAAGCAGGTTCGTGTTGTGCGAGAACAAAGCGCAGCGCTGCTTGATGCAGTGAAAATGCATGACTAGCCTGCTCGTCAGCCACTGGAGTTCCGTGATGGATCATGCAGAACACCGGCCGCGGGTGGACCAGTCAGGGACGCGTCGAGGCGGGCAGCTCCGCCTGGCCCCGGCCCGTCCCGGAGGCCCTCAGAGCGCGCCGCCGGTGTCATCCGCCCGCCGCACCGTCTCCGTACAACGTAGTCACAGAAGGCCCCCAGTGGGCGGTCGGCGTGGCTTCTCGTCGCCAATTCGCCGATTCGAGAATGGGTCAAGGCACCCGCCGCCTATATCCTTCAATTATGAGCCATTATTTACCGATGGGATGGTTAGATACGGCGCCGGCCGTACGCAGCCATCATCCAGGTTCTACGCATTAGCCGCTCGCATAGCTCGTTTTTGGACGAAGAGTGCATCGGCGAGTATCCCCCCCCCCCCCCTCTCTCTGAATGATTGGCGCCGAGCTCCCGGCCGCATCCGGGCGAGAGTGAAAGCTGGGGGGACGAGCAGAGTGGGGGGACCCCACGTGACGGGACGCGCCCAGCCGTATTAGGCGCGCGAGCACGTAACCCGGCGGCCCTGCCCCACATCCCGGCGTGGCCTGCTAAAATATGGTTACAATGTCACGAGGAACTCTGCGGCGGCGAAGGCCGCGGCTGCGGGCGGCGGGGGCCCGACGGGTTGAACGCGGAAGTGTGCAGCCGGCCCAGCCCCGGCCCAGCCCAGCGCAGCACCGCGCCGCGCCGCGCCGCCGCGCGCCGCCGCTGGGGTGGGGTGGGGGCGAGGCGAGACGCTGGAGATAGGGAGACGAGGCGAGACGTTGGGAGGTGGGGGGGGGGGGGCGAGGCGAGACACTGAGAGGTTGGAATACTGTTATACCGAGAGGCTGGTGAGAACGGCGAGTCCCTAGCGGACTGAAGAGGCGAGGCGAGGCGCTTGCGGACTAGAGAGGCGAGGCGGGTCGCTTGCGGACTGGAGAGGCGAGGCGGATCGCTGGCGGACTGGCGGGGCGAGGCGGGTCGCTGGTCAGCTCGATGGCGGCATCACATGGAAAAGCAGACGTCGTGTTTTTCACAGTAGTCTACGAATATCATTGAAGGCTGGGAGAATAATCCTGCTCCTGCGCCTGACCACGGCGGTGTGATGGGTAGTCTCCGATCCTGTAATGCACATTTGCAAGCCTCCTTACTTATCCCATAGTTGTTTTTTACCCTTCCTCCACCTTGAAACGTGATGTTCTCGGAAAAACTTGACCTAAATGACGTGTGAGCGGTGAAAATGGCTGGCCCTCGTCTCCACCAGTCGGTTTCACTTATCAGCCGTGAAGCCACGAAGGAAAAGTGACAGCTGATTCTCTGAGACTCTAAGAAGTTGTCGGGTCTCCCTAAGCACTGCCGGTCTCGTAGATCACTATCTCGATCGGAATGAAAGGTACGTAATTTTAGTTCGCTTGCATACCAATGTGAGTTTTTTTTATCCCTGAACGCGTGTTCTCTCTGCTCCTTAACCTGCGTCCTGTTCAGGCCGGGTCCCGTCGGTTGTTTAACCTCGGACCCGCTTTAAATGCAACGCTTCCTAAAGCCGACAATGCCTGTGAAGTCAACGCGGCACCCGCCACTGAACAGCGCCCATAACCGGGTCTCGAGAGCTGTCCATCCCTGAGTTCGGGTGGTCCCGGATCGGTGCTGTTGTTCTCTAAGAACGCTGGGGTGGCCGTGAGGTAAAGTAGGGGTTTTCCCGAGTCTAGCCCTTGGCACGACCTGGTACTGGCCTGTTTTTTTGGCTTAGCGGGCGCAGATGATGCAATTATGACTGGCAAGCTTGCGGCCAGCAGGGTCATTGTCGAGGATTCTGATCAAACTGATATGTGGATATGAAACAAGTGTTTACAATATCACAATATTGGAAGTTTGAAACCGTCATTCCATTTGTTGCGTACATTTTCGGGCATGTCCCATGATCTAAAAGAGACCAGGATGAATCATTACGCTGACGGTTAGTCGCCACGAGCAAACCATGTCTGCACAAAGCTTCGCCCTCCGGGCGAGTTCATTCAAAAATCAACTGAGCGAAGTGACAACGCTCAAAACTACGGCTTACAAGATACGCCATGACGAAGCGTTTTTGGTGCGCGGTTTCAGTGTGGCAAAACAGTTCAGTGTAGCAAGCAGTAAACAGCCTTAATGATGCGCACATAATGGAACTCGGGACCCTAATACGCACAACACAAAGATCAAGGACATTGTCATAGTCCAGAGAGTGATCACTTCCCTAGCATCCGCTTCATAACTCGTAGTCCGCTTTTGGACTTTAATGATCCGGTTATTTTAACCAAATGACTGTACAACATACGCAACATTTGCCAGTGCTAAAGATGTGTACACGAAAAGTTCTAACGAAGGATTTTGGACCCCTGATTGATATGTGTTATGCTTTGGGGTCTTAGAAAGAGCGTGTCAAGTCTTCGCATCGAATGTCGCTTCACGCGGCGCGCATACGCGCCACTCCAGTCCACTGCCAGCATTCCGGCCGGCCCAATACACGTAGCGTGCCAGCGTCGCATAAAACTGTGGAAATTTGATGCATTTCACGATAATGGTGTAAGTTAAATTGATGCACATCATCGTGATGACTTGGAATGCATTAAATCTGCATAATCATATCAGAACGTGACCGCGATTGTTCTCAATATGCATAACGGAGCGCTACTGCAACGCGGTATATCGTTTCAACAGGGGCACCAATGCTTCTTGAATATAAAAAGTCGCCTAAGATTAGTTTGTTTTGATTTTCAAACATATGAAAGTGAAAACTATTTTACGCGTTGCCAGTAATGCGAAGGGATTGCGAGAACGTACGCACAGTGAATGCCACTTCAAGACCTCCGTAACGATCCGGGGGTAACGGGGCTAGTGTTCACACCAGTCGAAAGCACCTATTTGTAATCCAGAAAATTGTTTCGTATTTGCTGGAACGTAGGGCGTGACGCACTCTATTCCGCCATGTCCATATTCGTACCCCGCGCCCGGCGAACCCCGTGTCAATCAAGCGTCGTGAGACCCTTCACGAACCGCTATGCAAAGTATACGTGGGGTCAGGTCCGGCCGGCGGTAAAGATGCAAACTTCCTTTACGCGAATCTCGTTTCCAGCCATTGAGTGAGACAATACATGCATGCAACAGACTCCACTGGGTCGCGGCGAACTGAAGAACACACTTCGTGGTGCGCGCCTGAAGGGGCCCTGCAGTCGTCCGTGAAGTCACGCACCCAGCCCAGCGTACCGTGACCCCGCAGCCCTTCGACACCACTCCGGGGACCTACCACACCTATTAACCACTTCCCCTGCCCCCAAACGCGCCTCGACTGCCGCAGTATGCGTGCTCGGCGGCCGTGTGGTCACCGTGACCTTTAGGCCACGCTCAGACGAGCGGCTCGAATGCGCGAAAGGTCAGGGGTCACGCTGCACGCCAGTCGCACTTACCTAAGGGATGGCTGCTCGGGACGGACGCATCTCCTGAAACAGAGGAGAGATTGTTGCTCTGGTTATTCACCTGTGATACGACAAGAGGCGCCGCTGCGATAATGATACAGTCTTCTCGTGGAAGGTGTGGACGCCAATTACTCTGGACCATGGGAACGGACGGGCCTTATGTCTCTGGAAGTGACTTACTTCCCCTAGTATGACTCGACGCCCAAGATAGATCCTAGATTCCCCCTTCCCCCCCCCAAAAAAAAACAATCGATGACACCTATTTCTGAGGAAAAGGAGTTCATGATATAGTTGGTCATGTCTCGTGCGATTTTGTTTTTCGTTGTCGGCTTCACCACGCCTGTATCCGGAGCGCCCACGACTGTCGGGGACAGTCCCACGCGGATTCGAGTTAATGCACAGATTCAAAACCAGCGCTCTGAAGTGTCCCACAGAGCCTCGGGCCGCTGGGCAGCTGACGCCAACAACACAGCGCTGGCCGCTTCCGCCGGCCGCAGCGTGCCCGAGAGTGCGCGCGGCGTCCCGTTGCCCGGGCGTCGTTCCAGCGCCACCGATCGGAGAATCGATGTCGACGGGGCGGCCAGACGGCGGCCAGCTCTCAGCCGGGCTTTCTCGGCGGCGGCTGAGTCTCGCGCATTGTTTGGGCTTCCCACATGCACGCAGACGCCCACAACACGCCGGCACTCGCAGACGGGTCGCACGGACCGCCCGGCCGTACCGCAGAAGCACGCCGCCATGTGCTCGTGCGTCCGCCGGGGCCACTTGAAAACGCGGCGTCGAGTGTGCAGGCGTTACCGCGCGGACGAGTTGGATTGCTTGGGCAAGCAGGCAACGCGGCGAAGCCCGCGGTACTTTGAATCGTAGGTAAAAGCGACTGAATGTAAGACGCGTGCGGCAGCTTTTGCACACGAGTGCGAATGACAAAGCTTCAGAAGAAGGCAGAAGGGAAGATTCGCCAGACGCGCTCACGCGGAGGGATTTACCTCCTGTACAGGCGTTGGGCCACCGTTTGTACGTTAAGCGTGGTGTGAACTTAGAGCGCATGACAACCCTCCCCCCAGCCAGGTGGGGCGTCACGCCCTTTATCGGGTGACGTCACACTCCGTCGCCGCACCGGCTGAGGAGGCGACGTGCCCAACCTCGGATAGCAAACCTTCAAAGCCGGTCATCCATCTATGTGGCCGGCTTCGGCGACTGACAAAATGCGCTTTAAGTAAACACGAGCCTATTGTGATAGGCATTGGTCACCTCTGCCTTCTACAGGTGGGCGTCACCAGCGCCAGGCTCGAAGGTATCCTATCAGCGTTGAAGTGTATGCAACACAACGTCGTTAGGATGTTGTGGGCTTGCGCACGAAAGTTTTTTCCCCTGGTAACCAGCCTGAGGGTGGGGGCTATGCCGTAGTGCTTAGTACAACCTCAAATTTTGGATGGTGCATATTTACGCTGGACAAGTTATTCTCCTTGAGTAGTAGCCGCACACAACCGTCCTGCGTTTTCGCCGCGTAGATGCTGTGACATGTATTGGAATTACGGTGGCGGCATTAGATATGGCGCCGGACAGTGGTCGCAACCGCAGATGGGGTGCAGAGAAACGGTAAAAGACACCGTTTACGGCACTCGTGACAGCCAAACAGCCGACATGTAGCGCGGACTGAGAGTGCAGGAACCGGAAAAATCAGATCGCGTCCAGATTCACCGCCGGGGACAATAAATCGCGGCGTTAAGATCTAGCTCCTCTGCCCGCACCGATCGCCTTCCAAACTCTGCAGCGGCGACGAGCCCTGGCACCGCTGCAGGGTGCTGCAGCGAGCGTCACCCAGACACGGGACGCAGGCGACATGCCTGATGCAACCCGGTCCAGGAGGACCGGGCCGCCTAATCCCATATCACGCCTGGCGGCCCCACGGCCGTCGCGCCGCCGTCCACCGGCTCTGCGGACGCCCAGCTCTCGCGGCCACCAGCGTCGGCGACGAGGCCGTCACCAGCGCCAGCGCAGGGCCCGGTCGGCCTCCACGCCGCCTCCGCGCCCATCGCCACCGACAGCCTCGGTCCGGCAGCGTGGAGGGCCGCCGCGTCCGGGCGGTCGGCGTCCGGCGGCGCGCGGCGGGCTGAACTACGCGCCCCCGGCAGCGCGCTGCGCCGGCGGCGGCCTCCGCGCGCCGTAACCGGCCGACGCTGACCTTGGCGGACCTTGGCCGGTCGGATTGACCCACAATGCGAGAGCGGGAACGGGTAGGTACGGCGCGGCGCTGCCGCTCGGCGCCGGCTGGGCTGGGCATTGGATTGCGTGCGCGGCGCCGCCCGCGCCTGGCTTCTCGATACGTCGGTCGAGATAAGCCAGCTGTTTGAGCGCTGCCCTCCCATGACGCGGTGCGTGCCTCTCCCCGCTATGTCGGCGAAATAGTGGCGATAAGCGAGAGGCTAAAATTGGGCATCACGCATGCACTCATTATACGCACCTGATGAGCTTTCCATTGTGTGCGTGCTTTTGTAAGCCGACGACCTGATCAGAACACCCGAACTTCCTTTCTCAGCACCCATGTAAAAACGGAAACAAGCGATAGTGTTAGCTATTTTTAAGCACGTCACAGCGCTTGCTTCTGTGCGATTGTCAATAATGATCGTGCTCGAAATGAATTCCTGCTGTATTCCTGAGATGCAGTTTGGTAAAACGGCAGTTGTGTAGGCTTTACGCTAGGTTTTATGAGCCCATGGCAGACCCACCATTTTTGTCCCCTTGGATTATGGCACGTTGTCTTGCAATTGGAAGTAAAAGAGATGTGGCTTAGAATTGCTTTGCATTGTTTTTACCTTTCGTGCTGAATTTAACGGTTGAGCGGCGCACGTCTTGGCGCGGCCCTTTATGGAGCCCTCGCTGCTGCAGAGGCCACGCCAACCCAATGGCGTTAGGGAAGAGTCGAACCCCGATCGTCTGCGGGGAAGCTGAATGCACCCTCAAATGAGCTGTCTGCGGCTGTTTGGATTTTTCATGGATTGATGTCTAATGTGATGGCATTTCTGTTCTATCGGGAGCGCGGAGCTGCAGCTTGGGAGGGGGCTCCGGCTATCCGGCGGAACACGATACCACTCCCCGCGCATCAACAACACCACATGTCTACAAATAGAAAATACCCACTTGCAAGCGATATTACAGCATGTCTCATGTCTAAAATCTGTGGCATTTTGTATTTCTTATTATTATTATGCCTCACGTCTAAGCGTGCAGCGCTGTCTCACCGCTTTCAGTGATTTGCAGGTAGTACACATGGAGGCTTTTAACGTCAGATCTATCGAGTATTTTGACTTAAATAATATCGTCGATATTAATGTATGCTGGATGTTATTCATGACACATCCTGAGCTACACCCAGCTCATTTTTTTAACGGGCACTGCCTTCGCCATTAAACTACCAGACCCGCAGAAACCATCAAGCTAGCGCTCCTTGAGTGCGTAGAGATGAACATACGTCAGCGATTTGCAACGACAAACACCACGGGGTGGCGATCGTTCGTTATCGCGATCAACCGCCACGTCGTGAATCAGTGTCAGTTTAGATGGCTCGCCCGCATGTTCTGGAGCCGCCGGTGACCTTGACACAATTCTCGATGCCAACTTGCACAAAAACACCTCAATGCTGGCAACGTCATTGGCTCTAGCCCGCCGGTACCAATGACAGCCGATACAAATCACCGCTTGCAAATCGGGCCATTCAATGCCACTATCGTTCAATGAGGGCTTCATTTTTTTCGGCAAAGGCGAGTCCCTGTACGGAGGAAGCATTTTTCATTGTCCCTGCGTCAAAAACCACGAACAGAGGACCTCAAAAACCAACTGAAGCCTCACATCGCCACGAACCGCTCCTCATCAAAACACGGAGCCAAATCCCGAACTTACTTGCAACCGATGCAACGGGCACGCGCCGCGCCCGCGCGCCTCCCGAAGCGCGTCTCCCCGACGTCGCTCCGCTACCAGCAGCGAGGTCTCGCGCCCAGCTGGACGTCACCAGAGGCAACGTGCTCCCTGCACAGTCACACCAGCGTTCGCCAGCTGGATGGCACCGTCACACGACCGACCGCTGTCGCCGCGCGCGCCACACTGACTTTCACAGCTCAATTCTGCCGGCCTTGTCCGGCCGCTAGGCCGCGCGCTGGCAAGGTCAGGCCCGCGCCGGCCGGCTGACCCGCGCCGGCGGCCCGGCCGGCCGGTCAGCGTCGGTCGCCGGGGTCGCCACCCGCGGTCACCCTCTTCCCCGCTTGCCCCCACCCCTCCGGCCGTGTCCGCAGCCGTCGGTGACTCACACGCGCGCATCCGCTGGCGGTGCCAGAAAACAGCGTCCTTCGCTGCAGCGACAAACAGCGCGGGCCCGCACAAAGAGGCACCGGCCGCGGTACGGGTCGCCGCCGGGCACTGTGACGTCACAGGTCAGGCGGTGCGCGGCCGCTGCGGTGACGCGGCGCCTGCAAGAGGAGCGTGTACTTCCGATGCGTCCCCAGGCACGTGCGGCGGCGGCTCCGACGGCTGTCGTTGGGGGCCGGCCAGGCACGCCGCCGCTGACTCCAGGTCGCGCTCGACAGACCCCGCGCGCGCCCTCGGGCCGGCTCGAAGGGGACCGCGTGACATCGGGGACGGCCCGCGGGACACGCTGCATCCTGGACGACGCAGGGGCTTGACGCTCGGGGAGCGATGATCCAGAAGACGGCGGCGCTGCACCAGCCGAATCCTGGCGTCTGACTGAGTGCCATCGAACATAGCAAGGACACTCTGAAGAGGTCCGATAGGAAATACTCTAAGTGAGCTTTGACGATGGCTCGCCTAGGCAGGCCCTGCGACCCACATCTGCAGACCACACCCTTCCCTTCTGCACCACTCGGCTGAAGCCGGCCGCCGACGACGATTCCCAGGTGGCGGGCCTCCACGCCCCGCCAGACGAGCACGTCACATGCCACGCGCCACGAGACGGCACGTGTCGGGTCGGACGCTCCGGGCGGACGCTCCGGGCGGCCGCGCACGGCGCCTGCGCACCTCATCACAAACCAGCACTTGCGGCCTCTCGCTGTTCGTCTCATCCACGTCATCCTGTAAAGTTGCTTTGGCTGGTGTGTGCTTCAGTTGCACGTGATAGGTCTATGGGGCCGGGGTTTGGAGCGGAAGTCGTGCAGACGTGACAGCTACGCAGCAAAAAAAGTTGACGCTTAGCAGCAGACGCGAAGGCACAAGACATATGGTTCACATTTCTGCCAGGATTGAATCGGACTGCATGACCTTGCTCTCAGCATGTGTTGCCATTCGCCGTGTACGGTGGAGTGGTGTAAGAAATCCCTCGCAGCACAGAAAATACGGAGGTAGCTTAGTTAGTTAAGGGCATTCAATGGGACGGTCTAGCCAGAGCATGAGCGCTTCGGCGAGGGTGTTGGAGCGTCGGCTGTTGTGGCAGTGCCTCTCTTAGTGAGCTGTGGGGATGGCGGACATCCCGACAAGCAATCCCCTGCCTGTCGTGTCCGCTACGAGCAATATGCTGCGAACTGGCAGATGATCATTAATAGCCCGTCACTTACTACTACGCGGATGATCGTGACGGTTAATATTGCTCTGACAGATGCATGGTACCCGGTGTAACGCGAGGCGTTATTGCGGATCTTCTCGATTCTCGCAAGGGCTGTCGTCTGTGCAGCAGTGGATCACGGAAGCGCGCGCGTCGTGGACTGTATTCATGTAACACAAATGAGCCCTGCCTGACAGACTTTTGCTTGAATCCGTGACAGAATCGATTCCGACTCCAACTCTCTGCGTGGGGCCGATTCCGACTTGCGCTCCGAGCAGGACAACACGACTTTGAGTAAACTCCCATACCGAATCAGCAAAATTGCTCAGGTTTAGAATCGATTCCGGCAGAGTCGATTTCAGTGAAACCAGTTCAGGTGACAGACAGTGTGGAGCCCAAATAGAACATTTGCCTTGAGAACAAAGGGGCTGTCCATGCCCGTGTTGTTTTAGGTCCGTCCGTGTTTTACTTCCGGCCCTGCTCGAGTCGACTCACCGATGATTCCGACTCAGCTGAGACTCCGTCCCAAAACACAAATAAGAAATCAAACATAATCCAACGGATACCTGTTTGGTTCCAGCGTCGATTCCGACTCCATGCAGAGTTAAGCGTGTTTCTGTTGTCTGTGTTTTCCCTCCAAGAACCGTCGAGCCACGTGCAGCGTTATGTAAGGCATTTCCGTACAGCGCTCCTCTGGAGATAGCACGCTATCCGGCTCCAGCCTCAAAACGAGTCTCCGCACGGTCGTGGCAGGATGACAGCATGCCTCCGCACGGTCATGGCAAGATGACAGTATGTATTTGCACAGACATGGCAGGATGACAGCATGCCTCCGTACGGTCATGGCAAGATGACAGTATGTCTTTGCACAGACATGGCAAGATGACGGCATGCCTCCGTACGGTCATGGCAAGATGACAACAAGTCTCCGACCTTGCACTATATCCGCACAATCCACCCCCCCCCCCCACCCCCACACACACGGGCGCGCGCGCACGCACGCACGCACGCACGCACGCACGCACGCACGCACGCACGCACGCACGCACGCACGCACGCACGTACGCACACATTGAAACCTTGCATAAGGTTCATCACCTAGCAGCGTGTACAATAACGCTGGAAATATAGTGCCCTCTAATGCCGGAAATGTTACTATTCTCTCTTTCCTGGAATGTCAACATTGTGCACACGCCAGCATATTGTGGGAAAATCTTCCTTATTTATGGGGACGACCATGCGCATACAAACGTGCAATGCCCACAACCAGTGAGCCCTGTCACCCGTTAACCTCGCCATTCTGCTCTGCTTGCGGACGTACACCACAACAGGCTAGTTTGGGTGCAAGACACACGTGCGAAATACTGCCAGCCCACGCAAGATCGGGCTTCGTGGACCGAGCTCCTCCGCTGACGCTCTGGGCCATCCCCATGGGCGGGGTCCTGAAGCACGCGTGGTGGGCCGAGCTTCTCCGCTGATGCTCTGGGCCATCCCCATGGGCGGGGTCCTGAAGCACGCGTGGTGGGCCGAGCTTCTCCGCTGACTCTCTGGGCCATCCTCATGGGCGGGGTCCTGAAGCAAGATCGGGCGTGGCGGGCCGAGCTTCTCCGCTGATGCTCTGGGCCATCCCATGGGCGGGGTCCTGAAGCAAGATCGGGCGTGGTGGGCCGAGCTTCTCCGCTGACGCTCTGGGCCATCCTCATGGGCGGGGTCCTGAAGCAAGATCGGGCGTGGTGGGCCGAGCTTCTCCGCTGACGCTCTGGGCCATCCTCATGGGCGGGGTCCTGAAGCAAGATCGGGCGTGGTGGGCCGAGCTTCTCCGCTGACGCTCTGGGCCATCCTCATGGGCGGGGTCCTGAAGCAAGATCGGGCGTGGTGGGCCGAGCTTCTCCGCTGATGCTCTGGGCCATCCCCATGGGCGGGGTCCTGAAGCACGCGCGCTGCCCAGCTACGCATCGAGCCGGCTCACCAGCGACCTCGGCTGGCCACGCCCACGTGCCTCATGGTAGCGGACGGACGCCTTCAATCCTAATCACTTGCAACTTGCAGCTGCCTCTGCGGGCAGCTGAACTCATTGGCGGGGAATCCCCCAAGGCCCATGCATATCAGAGTTCGGCAAACTTTGTGTATTGGCGCTAAAAGTTTAAAATGCAGCCCGGCTCGGGGCCACTCATTCGGCATCGGCTTGCACTTCCTCTTAGTACGTGTTCTGCGCGACATTAATGGATGACCCACGGTGACCTCACTGCACGAATTCCAAAGGTAAGGAAAGGTCAAATGTTTGAGGCATTTGTTTTGCAGCGCTGCAACTGACGTGGCAGAGTGAGGCATTGACGACCACAGAATTGCATGTTTCGCAGTAAGTGACTGCAAAGGAACTCCCTTGAATGAACACTGCATCTGCCTACTCATAATAAAGAATGCATACAAATTCAGAGACAGGTCTGACGCAGAAATGGACAACAGATGGGTCTTGCCACAAAATGTGATGCATGGCATGCATAGTCCAAATATATTTTTGGACTTTTTCGGGTTTTGTCAAGCAAGGCCAAGATCGTGTTTATCTGTAAAACAAATGTCTGAACCTGCATGATCACATGCCTTAGTACAGCGGTTGGCCGCTTGTAGTATGCGTGCATGGGACGTGTTCGTGTTCGGCTCACGTGCATTGCGTACGTTTTATGGGCCGATCACGATAACCACCGGGACATGTCAGGTTTGTGTATGGCCACTACATGGTCACCCGCACCACACAGCTACATCCGTATATTGCAGGTACATACAGAGCCCAGCGCGACGACCGTCATGCACAAACCGAATTCGAGGAAAGACGCCACTAGTATATAGCGTACAGCAATGTCTCGAGAGTGCTGACCTTAGGCAGACAGCTGGTGGGTTCGAAGACAACTCAAATGTACATGGCGAGAGGATACTTCGTGCAAATTTTGCACAACAGCCGGGTTAAATAATCAACATTGTAGGTGTGACTCGGCTGTATCCCTTTTTTCCTCGCGAGGATCCTCACGAGCCGATACAATTCCTCGCGAGTATCCTTTGGCACCGCTAGCTAGCACAAATGCACGTCATATGCCTATCCATGAGCATTCTGGAAGCTTCATGCAGCTGCCAGCAACCATCCAGACTCTAAACAATGCATCCAAAGGTACCGGTAAAAGTGGTCGCATACAAATACAGTGTGTAATGCATAACTAGCTGTTTTTGTTTGGAACCGGACAGGACAATATCATGCTACATCCAATTTCAAGCATTGCTCCCTAGTAGGTCGCTCAGTCATCACCTCAAAGCTTTCCGATTTCTTAGCGCCGTCACGAACACCTAGCACGAAAACTATGGTTAACTTCTATCAACACAAGTCCATGTTGATAAAATACCGACACGACTGACACTGTGCCGACTGACACTGCCGAGAGTGGTGTGCCAGCCGACAACTACCGGTAGAGCAAGCTCGACAACCGGCTTCTCTGATCCAGGCAGGGGTATTGGCGCAGCCCTTCGACCTGGGCGTGCTT